TGGAGATACAGTAGACATTATTTACTCAAACTACAAACCCCTATTTTGGCTCCATGCTGTTACCTAGAATTACATTTGGTGGAGTCAAAATAGGGATTTGTAGTTTGAGTAAATAATGTCTACTGTATCTCCAGCCTTGTTTCTTACCTTTTTCATTATCCCTATTTGCAGGTTTTTAAATTTCAATTTTTTATTTATCTTGTTTGCTGACTTTTTTATGCTCAACTACAGACAAAGGACAAACTGATATGGTAGCTAACTTTATACACTGTAATGATAATAAAAATAGCTATCAGTTGGCTGATACAGTTCATGATGTAGCTATTGACTATTTGATCACATCAGTTTGAGATGTAAAATGTTAAGCTGCAGCTTAATGTTAAGCTGAAGATTTGTTTGAGAACATGGTGAGAATTTATAGTTCTCTACATAAAATGCATAGCAATGGACAAATATATGCCTAAGCTAAGACACAACCCCCCACTAAGCAAGTATAAAATTTTACCAGTAGAAAGCAGCCTTTTCAAATAAAACATATAGGTCTAAAACATCACTTTAAATAAACCTTCATGGCTTTTAAGGTAATTATTCTACGAATGTGTGTAATAAAATTTAATATTATGTGTACTGAATTTTTTTTACTCCTTCACTTCATACATAATATAGAGGTTGGCTCCCTAAATATGCCAACTGTATAGTGTACAAAGCATTGAGTATCTACACATGTTATAGTCATCTAATGTTCATCTATTATTGGCTGGTAATTCCTGTTTCACCCTGTACTTAAACTTTTCAAAGGAACACCACATATTTGTAAGAAAGCTAGCTTCAAGGAGTAATGAAAACATTGTTTACACTAGAATTATAATGTTTTTTAGCATATGTAAAACATAGATGAAACAAATCAACTTTCCAATACCCCTAAGACCTTCACAATACCTTATTCAGTCTTCTACAAAAGGTTTGGGTGCAATATACCAAACCATTTATGTTGTAGGCTGGCAAGAGAATATAAATTAAAGAATTATTACAAATGGGCCATTTTGAGCAGATTTTCTTTTCCTTGTAAGTCTAACATTCATGCTTTTTTTATATATGTGTACAGCCTCAGCAGTCAATAGTAAATGTTTTAAAATGTTATTTGAACTGAATCTTTTCTGTTTAAGGCGCTTTTTGCCAGAACATTCTATTAGGGTTTTGTGCAATTCCTTGCAATCCCTATTATGAACCACTGTCCTGGTTCATGATATAACAATTAATAACCAAAATAGATGAAGTCACCAGGGTACAACGATTAATTTCAGTATTCAATACCATAATGGGGGCTGTAATACCACTTCAGGTGATTTTTTTTTACTCACCACACCCAAGGGTAAGACCTTTTTTTTTTTCACTTATTTATCATTTCTTTTCTTCTGAGAGCAGTCACCTTCTCTGCAGACAGTGAAAAGTGATACAGATGTATAATATTGTGCCTTTAGCACTCACATCTTGCTTTCTTATTAAAATATCATATTTTTTTCTTATTTTGCTCTTTTATTCTTTATATACAAGACTTGATGAATGAAGGTTAAGACTGGTAAACAGTCTATCCCTGCAGTCACCTCCAAAGGCCAGGACCTGAAAAAAATATTTCCCACATTATATTGTGTGTCCTGTTGACTTTATTTATATTGGCTATGTTGTATTGTATTTTTATCAAGGCTTGTTTTGAATTACAAATATGTTATATTTCATCATAGCTTTGGTCTTGCTATTTTTAATGCAGTCCTTTCTTTTGAAGTAAATATTAATTGTTTAATTAATGTTTATATTTATTTTGTATACATACATACATATATATGTATGTATACATGTAAAGTACATATCACATTATCACAACTGACAACCTCACTTTAATATCCAGGTCATTCTGTTTATCCAAGTCTAAGCAAATCATTAACTTACAAGCTCTGAAATGTTGACTCCAGTTTGAATGACTTCTCGAGAAGTTACTTTTTCATCTTTATTTTTTTCAGCCTGGTAAAGTCTCCTCTAAAATGGTGTAGACCCATAAGCATGCAAAGACACAACATTAACATCCTCATGCTCAACATGCACAGAAACATGCAGTGACAAAACACCTTCCACACCCAACAAAGCATGAAAGGTTGTGTCATTAACCAGAATCAAATATTTCACTTTAATCCAACAAAAGATGGTTTGTAAAATGTAATAATAAAAATTTTAAACAGTATCAAAATGTAAATCAACATAATAAAATTTTATGAAATTCTGTACTTTTTTTTTTCTTACTGGAAAGTAAGGTTTATCTTTTGAATATGCCATCTGAATTTATAGTAATTATATCTAAATATCAGTAATTGTTTAGCAGTGTCAATGCCTATTCCAAATGTTCTTTACCTCAGTACCATATACAGTTACATTAAATTATTCTTGAATAATAATAATTCAAGAAATGCAAGTGGGAAGAAATACCAAAGAATAAATATTTTTTCTTTTTCTAGTTTATATATATTGTCATATTAATAGTTTTCCTACAAACAGGATATTTAACTCCCAGTGATCATTACAGACCTCCATAACAAATTCAAAGCAACATTACAGTCACAATGTTTGATTAATAATCATAGCAAGTCAAAGCATAACCATTATGAAAAAGCAATAGTAGCAAAGAAAATCTACATTTTGAGAATGCTCAGATTATTAGGTTTCATTACCTCTATTTTTTTTTTAATATTGTGAATAGATTTGTACTCAATGATTTTCTGATCAATTAATAATAAAGAAAGTTATCTGAATATAGTGAACATATTAGTCTTTCTGCTTTTACTAAAACAATGGAAATGGTCTAGCTACTTGTCTAAAAGTTTGTGAGATTAAAATAGCATAGCCTGTGTGAGATTTTATGTTCTTCCCCTAGGGATGTTTAGTAGGCAAGTACCAGAAAGTATGCTATGAAATTCACATGCCCAACTAAAACAACAATTAATTATCTTAGTCCTCACATCCATACACTATACTACAACAACAAACTTACAATAATCAAAAATAAAGAAAAGTGTATTGATACTTAGAAACTAGCGTGAATAATTCCAGAGAAAAAATGAAGCCAATTCTTGAAATACATGTAACTCACAAAATACTACATAAAAGTTAGTGTAAGTTTATCAACAAATTCATGTGATCATCAATACTTTACAAAATTAAAAAATAACATGGTTTGATAAAATATGTGAACATTGGCATTTCCTAAAAGCATCTAGTTTCAGTACTAATCAAAGACTAATTTTTATCGTCCCAATAAACATACATAACTAAAACATAATAATTAGTAATCAAAATATCATAAATTTTCTCAAATAAATTTTAAAGAAAAAACTTAAGAGGTTCTATTGAAGTGCTTATAAACACAATGTAGTGCATATACACGTTTATCTAATAATGTCATATGTTGTTGTTTTTTTACAGGTCCAAGTCTACTGTTTTAATTAAGGGATGTACATACAAATTGTATAATCTATGACACTTCCAAAATGTCTGGTTACGTTTGCAGTCAACCTTAATAACAAAATAACCACTTCTTCACTACTAAATTATATTTCAGTATCTTTATATTCCGTACTTTGACTTTTGCTATCACAAGATATTAAAAATTAATGCATTAATACCCTTAATGAGCAAATCTAGAAAATGTCTGTGATGATGTAACTAGTGTCTGAAAAAAATTCCAGTTAAGGGGTTAATTTAAGAAAAAGCATTTCATTTTTTTTATAAAACGTTCCTTTGGCTGAGGTTGACCACAGACATTATTTTTTCAGTACAACTTTTTCTCAACAGATGATGTTGTTGATGATTGTTAACAAAACACAAATACAAACAGACATGGTTATATTCAAAAAGGTGCACTTACTAGAGAGTGTATGTCCACACCCGTCCAAATGACCTCACGGGTGGGTGATAAAAGATCTGGATCAGAGTGTTGAACTTGGTCAATGTATGATGTTGTCTAATTAACAAGATTAGAATGCATGCAAAACAGTCAACAAAATGAAAAGTTAAGTAAATATTAAAATAAAGCAAAATACATATTAATTAAAAAATAAAAAATAAAAAATCCCTTCAAAACCCATAAAGAAATAAACTAAGTAATGGAAGGTGATAAGTACATAATGCATGATGTTGTTTAATTAACAAATTAGAATTCATGCAAAAACAGTAACAAAAACATATAAAAACTACATAAGTTTAAGTAAAACTGTTACATTAAATGCAACAAAAAAGAAAATGAAATCCATTCAAACACCAGAAAAAAATAAACAAAAGAGGAAGGTGATAATTATAATTGATATAGGTTGTGAATTTTGAATTTAGACTAAAAATGTGAAAAGTAAAATAGACTGATATTATTTTACACATGTTAATAATAAGGTTAACTTAAAAATTATCTTTAGAATAATAATGTTGTATATATATATATATATATAATAGAGATGTTTCAAGGATTATACCATTAACCTATAAATCTGGGCCTAATGTCTCCGAGTTTCAGAAATGCTTTTATTTCTACGAAAGTTAACACTTTCCAACACTTAATATGTATTTCTGGTAGATTCTTACCTCATCTCACATAACAGCTCACCACTAGCCTTGAGACTCCCACCTACCCTCACATGTGAGGCAGCTGTGTGATAACATGCAAATATGCATGCAACAACATTTCACCAATAGGAGTGCAACACAACTCCTAGCACAGCTGACTCCCTCTACGAAGCTAAGCTCAACTTCACTCGAGATTGAGCACCATAAAAAGAAAAAAACAATGGTAGTAGGGAGGAAAGGTGAGAAGTGTGAGAGGAAGTAAGAATCTATCGGAAATATATTTTCAGTGTAGGAAAATGTTAACTTTCAATACGATATCTTAGCTCTTGTCACACAACAGCTGGGATCCCACAATGTCCTGGTGAAGGAACTGGTGTAAAATTACCTAGATGAGCTCCCTTCAGAAAGTCCCTAAAAACAACCCATGGGGTGTGGGAATAAAGAGTATGCAAGACACACCTGTGGGAGACTGCACCATTTGTGTCGCAGTAAGGGAGGAATCACAGGAGGAACTCCACAAATTAAATGAAGGGACCCCTGGTGTAGAGTAGCTTGGGCTCAGTGGATCATAAAGGGAGTTTAACCACAACCAACACCAACAGTACTGTGACAAGAATAGCCAAAAATGACAAAAAGAGGGTCCTCTACCATTCACCTTAGACACAAGAACTGGACGGGAAGAGGATCTTCTGTTCCAAAGACCTGCATTATCATGTGAGCATGTCCAACACAACCAACACCAGTACCTCCAGGGAACTGACATCTGGATGATGGTAGAAAGGCAGACAGCAATGTGGTGGTTCAACTTTAGTCCAGAACACAGAACCAGGCAGTATTGTGAATAAATCATCCAGTCTGCAGTAGAAGGAGGGTACCTGGGCCACTCACATGTCAGGACTTATGTGGCTGGTCCAGGTCTAACCAACACCAGTATCCCTGGGAACCGACATCCAGGTGATGGTAGGAAGGAGAGTGTCCTGCTGAGGGGTGAACTGCATTGTTGTGGAAATTATCCAGTCCATAACCAGGCAGCATCTGGAAAAAAAAACCAGGTCCATTGTAGGAGGAGTGTCTATACACCATCAACACCAGCAGGACACCACTACCCTATTTTCAACTGAGGTGAATTGAGCACACTCAGGAGGAAGCCTCAATGGTCCATTACTCCAGTAGCTAGGAGCTGGTAAATGGTAAGGACTCCTGTAGTCCACTGGAAGAATGAGGAATAATGCATCGTAGAGTCCAGAGAAATGCAACACTGGAGGTAGTGCAACAGGTGACTGCTAAACCTTATACTGAAAACCAGACCATTCCTAGTACAACCAAACCAACGAGTGGCAGGAACTAGAAGCAATCCTCTTGTGTTTTACTCATATTAGTTCATGAATGTATGGTCCGGGGCAAACATATTTATTACTCAAAAAACTGTGAGGGAAAAACTACAAGTGATCAATAATGCCCATCTCAACAGTGGGCATTATTGACCTGAATGACCATCCAGTGCAGTTTTAAGAATAAGTATACCTGATCAGGCAACATTAACCTCTGAGTGAGATCTGCACATGGGAGAAAGACCCCTATAAAAAAAAGAATAGTATAAAAAGAGCACCTACCCACTCATAGAAAAACTGTGGAGCTCAAGATGGCAATGGGAAGTACACAGTAACCTGTAGGACAGGAAATAGCCAGATGAAGCAGATAATGTAAGATAAAGGTATGGGGAATGGTCTACATTCCAGCACAAACTATATCCTCTAAAAGATGATGGAATCTGCATCTAGGGACATGGTTAGGTGACAGATTTGATGGGAGTAGACTTGGAAGAGACAACAATCATCAGGAGAAAGGGAAGAATAAGCCACACAAATCAGCTGGTGAATCCAACCCAAATGGATAATAAGAGGAATATCATGGGAAAGAGAAGAGTTCTGATGAATAAACAAATGATAATGGGAACTACAAAAGGGTAAAGAGAGTTCAGACAGGACATAAGAGGTAATCTGGATTAGAACATGAATAAAGGTGGGAAATGGGAGTGAAGGCAAATTTGCTTTCGAGTGTGGCCAAAGTTTTGGGCAGGAAAGACCGGTCCACTTAGAGGATGGCATGGGACCATTGATATAATGTGATAGCAAAAAAATCCAAATGACAACGTCCACATGCAAAAAAGGGGGAGGGAAAAGGTCTTTAAGGAGGGATGATATAAGGAACAGAAAGTTATGGGCTCAAAGGGAAGAAGTGTGAAGACATGAAAGCCAACAATGAGGTTCTAATCAGAGAGGGGGGTAGGATGCAGAAGATGGCAAAGGCAGAAGGAATGAAACAAAAGGGTGAAGACTGAAGAAGTGAAGTCATGACAAAATATTATGAAATGGAAGGTGGCTGACAATGCCACATGATAACCAGCAATACTGGATTCTGACAGCCCCTTGTCGAAAAGCCAGGTAAAGAAGGAAGTCAGAAGCGGGAGAGTGGGATGGGACAGAGGAAAACCATGATGAGAAGACCAATGATGGTAGACACACTACTTATACTACTTATACCATAAGCTCCATAGATTGCAGACAAAGGGGAGAAGATTGGGCATGACTGAGATGGGAATTGAAAAATACCCTGAGATAAACAAAGTATTGAGAGAAGGGAGGAGGAAGGACTTCTCCACTTTCATCAGCCACCCTACCTGTGCAGCTTCTTGAAGAAGAAACTGAGTGTGAAGGGAAGAGGTGGCATGCAAAGGAACTAGAAGCAACCAGTTATCCATGTAATGGTGGAAACGAAGGCCCCTAGAATGGAGAAAACAAACAAAGGCCTTGACCATCTGACAAAAAAACCTAAAGAGCCGAAGCCAGCTTGAAGAGAAGAACCCGGAACTGGTAGACGCAACCCTGATGGGAAAATGAATAAAATGCCAAGATGCTGGGGAGAGAGGAATGTGGAGGTAAGCATCCGAGACATCTATGTTCAGAGACCAGGAGTGAAAACCCATTATAGAGATAGGTATGATATTATGGTTAATCAAGGATGGTCTAGGAAGCAGTTAAATGAAGAAAACCCAATGTGGGAATAGAAACCTGGCTGAGAAGGAACCACTCATTCCACAGCACCCTTGCAAAGAAGATCTAGAACTGCCTCAGACAGACACTGCCTGGAAATGGGATCCTGAGGAGGGGTAAGAAGATGGGATAAGGGGGACAGGGGGAGGGGAAGAAAAACGAAGGGAGGCTGCAGAACCCAAAGGTCATGGTGGCAAAATGTAAAAGCCTAGCCCCCACTGGACCTGTACCTACCACATAGCAAGGGGAACTGAAGTCCTTGATGAAAATAATGAAGAGCCAGAAGAGGATCCAACTGCTGCGAGTCCAAAAAAGGAAATTCAGACTGATGATGAGCCAAAGAATGGACTTCCATATTACACGGAGGTTGAGGCACACTGATCCCAGAACATAATTAGTCCAAAAACCTATTGGCATGAACCCCAGTATCTAGTGAGGGTGGGAGAACAAGATATTGGTCTGAAGGTGTCTCACTTAAATGAAAAGGGGAGGATTCAAAGGAAATGGGCAACAAGGACAAAATATAATAAACCTGGTTGATCAACTCTAGGAAAGGAGGAGGAGGCCTGGGCACATCCACTGGAGCCAAAAGTGATTATGTGGCATAAGATGAAGGAGGAAACAGGCTATCAAAATCATTGTCTTCTTGTTCAGATACCCCTGAATAAGGTTTGACAGGATAATCTTCAGGCAAACCAGAAGCTCACATGAAGGTAGCCAACAACCAACAAACCAAGGCCATAATGTCTTCCACCAATAACTGCAAACCTGAAGGCAGATAAGTCAGGTTAACTGCAATTGCAACAACAGCAGTAGTAATAGTAGTAGTAACATTAAACTCTGAATTCATGATAACTGTGAGTGTGAAATAATAAAAAATCCACACAGGAAGCTAAAACAAAAACATAAGAATTTAAAGACACACATAATGTCAACGTGTACAAACAAAAAATTGAGAACTGAAGTGTAGCAAACTAAAAAAAAAGTTAGTTTCCTAAAAAAAAAAGTTACTGACTGAAACTCCTCGAGTAAAGCTGAAGCAAAAAACATGTCTAAATACTATGACTGCCAATCGAGAAGTGAAGTTGAGCTAAGCTGCACAGAGGGAGTCAGCTGTGTTAAGAGTTGTGTCACACTCCTATTGGTGGAGGGTTGCCACATGCTTATTTGCAAACTATCATGCAACTCCCTCATATGAAAGGTAGGAGTATCAAGGCTAGTAGCAAACAAAAACTTACATATATAGAGGGCAGTACAAGTCGAGAAAAGCTATTATGTGAGAAGAAGTTAGATATCGTATTAGAAAGGACTACTGCTTTTTTTCCAAAGTTTGAGTATAAAGTTGTATTGTAATAAACATTTCAATATATATATATATATATATATATATATATATAAAAGTATAAATATTAATTTTACATTACAGGTCTAGAATAAGATAAAAATATTCATAAATTAAAAAATCAAAAGTCTTCAAAAGGTTATTGGGACACATTAGTTCTACAATTAATTTTAGCATGTTATCAGACTCACCAAAGTTTTTAAGTCAATACACTTTAGGATGCTATCTTTGCATGGTTCCTGCTCATGTTCAGACTGATGGAAGGCATGTGTTACATATTCTTGTTTCTAGAACAAGTGGGGTTAGTGAGGAGGTTATTACTGATAAGAAAAACAATGCATTAGATATATTTAACATCAGCTTAAATGTGATGTAATCAAAACTTAGCTCATTAGGCTTACTTAGGTAGCATGATTTTGTTGCTTTTACTCTTGTCTTATAATTTTAATTTTCTTTTATACTGTCTAGAATCACTTCAGTGTTTCTTAAAGAATATTCAAATTTCCAAACCAAAATTAACAATAATGTGAGATAGAATAAGATTTATTTATAGCTCATAAGGTATGTTTCACAGTTTTTCACACAATATACTAGTTAAGACTGGAAACACATGCTAGGTACAAAAAACAGAGAACATAAAGGCAAAATGCAAACTGTACCTTGTTTAACTCTCATATTCACTTGTGAACTTTAATAAACATGCACAACTACAGACAGTTTAGTTGAATAAATGCAACACCACATAAACCTTACTTCAAGTACTATGTAAATAAGTAAGTGAATCCTTTTTTGCAACTGGTAGGCACATAAGGCCAGTGCTTGAGTTTGGTTTCCTGTGACACATGAAGATGAGAATGGTGACATACACACAACCCTGCCAGTCAATCAACTACCCACTAGCACCCATTATACAGTAGGGTAGACTGTAACAACTGAGGTAAAGTGTCTTCTCTAAAGATTCATGGTGCAGGCAAAACTTAAACTTGCAATTCTTTGACTATGATTCCAAAGTACTAACCATTATGTTATGCTGCCCCAATTACTTTATAAGGGAAGAAAACTGGTAAATACACTAACTGAGCATGGCCTCACACCAATATTCTGTATACTTCTAGTCACATGTCCTAGTCAAACAAGAGGTGGAGCCTATAAATCTTACCTCAAGTACTTTGTAATGGGAGAAAAAATTACTAGTTGTAAATACAAAACATAAAGAGTAGTTTAATTTTAATGCAGTAATAACAGCAGGAAAATGACATTTTAAAATACAGTAAAACAAGCAAACATATTATTTTTGTTTCTATTTCAATACATTTATATTACACAAACATATTTGTTTTCTAATTAGTAAAACAAATATCCTCTACTGCAAATTTTACTTTAAATCTAACAGCCCCATTTGCTTAACTTAAAAATATTGAGATATGTTTCATAATCTCAAATTTCACTCAGACCCATCAGGCATTTTCACACATTTCATGTAGAAATGATTATTGTATGATTTAATACTATGTACTTTGTTTTTGATCCTTACTAACCATAAGTATCATAACTTGAGTCACTAACATTCCAAAATTGTTCATTTAAATATAAAAATTAAATTAGACATGTAGCCCTTGAATTACATACAAAGGATTCACTTACATTTTGACTGCATACATAGTCTGCATAATATAATTATGATATTTTCAACACCACAGTAAATTAGAAGATACTTTTTCTTAAAAATTCTATTGTAAATTGTCTATATTTGGCTCACTTCTGCTATGAAAAAAAAAAAAAGATTTAATTTCTAATTGTGAGTTTTTGAACTCTTCTATATTTGAAAATATGTTACAGACTCACCATACTTTTCAGGTCAATATTTTCTAGGATACTATCTTTGTGTGCTTGTTCTTGTTGAGAATCATGTGTTGCTTGTTTTATATAATCTGTTTTCTAAATACAAAGATCAGATTGAGTTGGTACTTTAACTAATCACTATAAGAAAAATCTTGACTTTAATTCATTTTTATTCATAATTAGTTTTTTGCTTTATCCTTGAAGATATAGTGAATATAAGTGGTATAAAAATAACTTTTCTTAATACATAACATAGTACAATGTCTAGTTTTAAAATATTTATTGACACAATAAAGGTACACAAGGTGGAAATGTACAGTGTGTGTAGTTTATCACATTTATATTTTGACTTTTGAAATTATACACATATTCATATCCAAAATCTCCATGTTTAAACCTGGATACACAGTACAAAAGTACATATTAGGTCATAAAGAAATTAATGTCACATTTTGGAACACTTTCATTAACAAAATCTCCATGTTTAAACATGGATACACAGTACAAAAGCACATATTAGGTCATAAAGAAATTAATGTCGCATTTTGGAACACTTTCATTAACCACCCCCCAAAAAACGTACATCACATATAATAGTTAAATGAACCTGCCTAAACGTCACGTTAGTGTAGCCTATATAATGTGTAAAGTTTAGTATACTCTAATCTGTTACAGTGATGGCACATGATGAGACATACATTCGGCATGTAATGCTGTTTGAACATAAGAAGGGAAACAATGCCTCTGTAGCCACAAAGAATATCAAAGAAGTTTATGGAAATATTTTTAACATTCATAAGTGTCAATGATGGTTCAGCAAATTTTGTTCAGGTGACTTTAGCCTTAAAAACTGTGATGGCAATGGCCAACATGTAGGAATTGATATTCATGCTCTGAAGATGCTTGTTGAGTCTAACCCAAGGCAACACACTCGTGAAATGGCCCTGAAATTGCATGCCTCTCATGAAACAATACAGAAACAACTAAGGAATATGGGAAAATTCCTTAAAAAGG